CGTTTTACTTGGTATAGTCACAAACGAGCTTTACATTTCGATATTGAAAGTTTGACAACACTAATGAACAAAAAATCATATTGCTGGCGCATTCACTAGTTCCCCAACTCACCGTTATTTAAACGTAGAGTGCGCTAAAAAACCAGTGATTTTTTTACTATGTCGGTATTTCAGGTCACGAACCACGAAATCCCGTAAAATACTTTGATCTATTTACATACCTCGTCTGTGACGCAAGTTAGTCAATGAAGCTAGTTAGTCAATGTAGGTAACATTGAGAATAACATTAAAATGACAAAGAGAAAAAATGTTTCGTTTTGAAATGTACAAAAATCCGAAGACCGAAAACAACAATTATTTTTAAAATTTTCACGAAGAAAGTTATTAAAGAGAGATAATTCTTTTTAATAATCAAAATGACGATCACTAAATAATTTTTTGAAAAACTAAATGATTAAAAGATATTAATTTTTTTATTTGATTTTTGGTTATGAAAAACCATACTATTGAATAGTAAGTAAAGTTTCTGGTAATCATTGTAAATTATGAAATTTATTAATATCGCTTGATATCAGTTCAAGAAATACGTATGTGTAAGTATTTATGTGCACGCATAGGTATATGATTTCTATATAAGAGTTTACAACAGGTTTTAGTTCCGTCCTTTTTCAAGCCACATGCGCAACTGTTTTTCTTTTTTCTGTCCACGACGAGAATAAAAGTACCGTACTGTAGTCGAATGAAAGCTATCTACCAGGACAATAACTCGACATTCGCGTGGCGGTTCTCGATAATGAAGGCGTGTGATTTCTCATTTCTATTTACAATACTACTCTTCAATAGCAATGGTATTTTAGGTGAGTACGTATTAAATTAAAATCATTTCCTTATCACTATCAGCGCGCAGCTTGAATTTTAAACAGTATTCATATACAAATTTACTTAGTCTACAATATACATATCATAGCATATGATAACGCTTTCTCAATAAGAAATATCACTATAGAAATATTGACACGTTAAAGCAATTACTGTTTTATCAGAAACTATACATAGAGAATCTTTTATGTGAACCGGCTGCAGAATACATTATTATTATTTGATGATACTTGCACTATACAATGAGAAGAAAGGAAAGTTTAGAATACGTTTGACATTTTGTTTGGTAGCTTATGCAATGGAAATCTAACATTCTAATGCCAATCGTCTGTTAGATTTGTCAGCTTCATTCCGCAAAAACGTACGCTAAAATGCGTAAATAAGCAAAAATAAACGTAATTTCCCGTAATTAATGAATGAATAGTGCGTTATCTCAAAGATTTACTATTTCACTTATTTATATTAGATAAATAATAATCCTACATCCGGTACATGATTCAGATCTGCGTATTTTATTAATGAAAGATAATAATCTATCATAAAAATGAATCTTTCCCCCCCCCCTCCTAAAAAAATAAGTGTAATAACTGTGCACTAAAGTTATATTTTATTTTACTAAGCTCTATTAAGGTCTAAGCATAACAAGGTAGTAACTTGTTATGTCGCTTCCTGGGCCGTTTACAGACCTAATAATGGACAATTCCAAGTACCCAATATTCCTGCAGAGCTTTGCACGCACCTCGTATATGCATTCGCGGGACTGAACAGTACGTCGTGGACCATTAGGAGCCTCGATCCTTATCTAGACATTGAGAATGGTAAATGCATAATTTTACTCGATTATCCTTATGAATGACACTGTCGCTTTATAGCCGCAATAACATTCTAGGTAATTACAAAAATATGACTCAACTTCACGAACGACATCCGAATCTAAAAGTTCTGCTTGCAATCGGAGGATGGAACGAGGGTAGTAAAAATTACTCCGATCTCGTTTCATCCCCTAAACAAAGAACTACATTCATCAACAGCGTAGTAAACTTCCTTGGGTATAGAATATAGAATATTAAGATCATTTAATAACTACACCTTGCTAACAAATTGATTTACACGATGGTTTTTAATTTGCAGAAAATACAATTTCAATGGGTTCGATTTAGATTGGGAATATCCTGGATCAGGAGGAATTTCGCAGGACAGAGAAAATTTTGTTGCTCTCGTAAAGGTGAACAACGTACAGTAATTTATAATCTTAATTCTAAACCAAAAATCAACTGTATGCATCGTAACAGGAATTAAAAGAAGCGTTCAAGAAGTCGAAATATCTGCTAACAGCAGCTATAAGTGCTAATCAAGGAACTATCGATACCGCATACGATATTCCCGAAATTTCCAAATACCTCGACTTTATTCATGTAATGGGTTATGATTATCATGGAGTATGGGATAAAAAAGTGCTTCCAAATGCGCCATTAAAAAGCGAAAACGGTCACAGCGTGGTAATGTGTTAAAATAAACAATGAGTGATAAGTAGAATTTTATGCAGAAATATAATCTAAACAGAAATTTCTTCCTATTCACTAGAAAAGTATTACAACAATAATTATATTTTACTTTAGATATTTTGTATATTTTCTATATATATTATGCATATTTTTGCATATTCAACTTTCTCGTAAATGGATAAAAATCTACACTCTAGTATAAATATCACAAATAGAATACAGGATGAGATAAAATTTTCGTTTAGGTGGATACACTCAATTATTTGTTACGTAAAGGTGTACCAGCGAATAAAACAGTGTTAGGCCTGCCTATGTATGGAAGAACATTTATATTAACGAGCAAATTAAATTCATCTCAAGAAAGTCCAATTGATCGACCAGCCACTTCAGATGGATTCAAAGGTCCTTATACTGGGGAAAAAGGTTTTATGGGATACAATGAAGTACGCCTTACTTTTATTAAATCGGACACGTTAAATCCGCTAATAAGAAAGTGCTTACTTCTTTCTATTTCTAATA